CAGCATATAAAGCACATACGCTTTCAATATAGCAAATACAGTAGTCAGTAGTAACATTGTGAACCAAAAATATAATAAAACTATTATTCAGGGCTTGACATTCGGGTAATCCTATATCCTGGGACAAGTAAAATTGAATAGTATTAAACTCACTTTTCTTTAACATATAGGCAACATACAGTTTGGACAAAAAAGTTTAAAAGTTAACAAGAAGTCCTGTTATTTTTTTTTATTTTTATTTTTAGTCACAATTTGCCATGGGCCATCTCCAACATCACTAGCCTTCTCCATTACATGATCCTTAACACTGGCCTTCTGTTCTTTGTTTCTGATGGAATCATTTGAATCATTGATATTCTTTGCTTGTGATAACTGGGCTGCCTGTTTTGAATCCTTTGGCTGCTGCGAATGTGTAGTCTTCCTTCTAGCAGATTTTTCAGATAGTGTTCTGTTGCCAGCAGATTTGTCCACATGGGACACATGCTCTGCTTTTTTTTCAACTGTGATGGACTGAATTTTTTCAGTGATATCATCAACCTGTTCCACATCATCTTGTGAATCTATCTCACTCATTCCATCAGAATCGCCGTAAGTCTGCTTCGGCAGTGTGAATACTTCATTTGTCTTTATTTGACAGCCGTCTTCCAGTAATTTTACCATTATTCGTGCAATGTTCCTACAATCTGCAATACCACTGTGTTGACGTCCTTCAAAAGTCATTCCAAGATGATCCAACATAAGGGTGAGTTTAAGTCTTCGGGTGTGGTAGTAATTGCTGAATAGTTTTCGGATATTAATCCAGCGACGTGCATACTCCGGGAAAGAAATTTGACTCAAAACACATTGTACATTGAGGAAACATATAATATCCCATGGCCTATGAAAAAAAAAACAATAACCTCACTATAAATAAACAAGCAAAGCTCATTAGGCACTACCAGTACATATCAATTCATTTGCCCATAATATTCACAGATGCACTCTAACTTCATAAATTGTGTCACAAAAATTGTGATGACAGTTTAATTATTATTTAAAAAGTGTACTTTCTAGTCTCTACCTGTTGAAAGGTTAAGGAAAGCTACAAAGAGACAATCTTGGATCACGCCATGTGACCATGCATTGGCCAGTCGTATCACAGAATCCATGAATGGGGCAGTATCATAAACATTAGACTGATTAGCAATTCAATTTAAGGCAATTTACTTACCCATCAGTTACAATTGCAAAACTGTACTCTGATCCAAGTTTATTCTCTTCAAGCCAGTTTTCGAATTGGTCAAGCACATCTGAAAATAAAGGAGCACCATCCACCTGGGCCTAGTATGTTATAATAGGACAAATACAGTTACTTACAAAACAACAGTACATGTATGATATTCCTGTTTTAGAAATTATGTAGCTAAAAAACATACCATAACAAACTTTGTTCTTACCTGTGTGATCCCAGTTAGTTCTGTACAGAAATCTGATAGTTTGGGGTGTAATACTGGCCGACAGAAGGTACGAAACTCCTTTTCCTGAAAAGATACACCAAAAAACATGTATATATTTTATTTTTGGCAATGCTTACACTCAGGCAACCAGTCGGTCGCTTAATCTTTCCAATGACAACTCAATGAGTTATCCCAGGACATCAACAAAATGATAAATGTGTGAACAGAAAATATAAAAGCTAAACAAATGGAAATTGCACATTATGCAAATATATTATTTTTTGATTGATTAATCTGATTATTCTAGCAATAGATATAGTCAGATCAACATCACTGGTTAGAAACCTGTGCCGCTGAGTTTGCACACAAATGATAAAAGTTGTTTAGCACTGGTATTTTCAGAGATTAATTTTTAAATCTTCATTTTTTTTTTTTGTTTAATCAACTTGTAAGCCAGCCTATGTACTGTATTGTACTGCAGGATTTGATGAGGATTCATCAGGATATTTCAACCATTATGCACATCCAACAAAATCTTACCATTTTCAGCGTTTTACTATTTATCAACACCACTGGGAACTCAATAATTTCATGAACATAGTCTGTAGGATTTTCTTTCTCACATGTGGCTTCATAATCTATCACTACTAGGTAATCAAACGGACATTTTACAGGATTGATTATGTCATCTGATTCCAAACCAGCTTTGATTAACTTCTGCTTCCGCATATGTGACTTCAGTCGTTTCTTCAATACATCTGTGGTACCTCTGAAACAATTAGCATGTCAGTTACTGGATTCTTCCATTGTAAAAGTTATGTGAATTAAAAAACTATATCAAATTAAAAATACTGGCATTATGACACTCACTCTTTATCTAGTTCTAACTCTTCAAGTTTGGCAACCAGCTGCAACTTATTCCATTTATTGATTTCACCATTTTTTAGTGATATTTCTTTATATACAGGGTTACTGTAGTCTTTCTTCTGGGATGAATCCGCCATCTGTAGCACTGACGGTATCTTGTAACAGTCATTGGCTTTGTTTACCTGCAGTTCCAAAATAGATGAGATTAAAATAATAGGAACTGATGTCCAGGAAATGTGCTACAACAAAAATCATGGACAGCAACCATTAAAATATTTAAAATCCTAAAGTTCATCTTATGTTATCTCCATCAGTAATCAAATTTAAAAGTTCAAGAGTTATACTGACTGAAAGACGACATTCTGCACCATTAATTACAAATCCTGTCTGACATTGCTGTGTGAATATTGCTTTGAGTGTGTGCTAAATACAACTAACCTAGGAAGAACATAATATTTGAAGTTATCTCTGATAAAATTCAAAAGGCAGGGACCAAATGGTTATACAGAAAACAACAAGAGTCTGGTGTGCATCACAGACTAATATTTCACTTCATGTCAAATATTGATTTTGTAATATAGTCCATAGTCGATTATGAAACTGAGAATTCTGTGTGCAATTTGATGACTTTGCAATTCCTTGAGATGCTGGAAACGTATTCCCAACCAAATCCACACAACTGATTGGTAATAATTTTCTGATGCAGATATCTTGCGAATATTGTAGCTGTTGTATATTATGTGACATGCTTTTAGGCTACAAACATCATTTTACAGGCAATACAACTTCAAGGACGGTTAACACAATTCCTGGTCCCAGACAAATCGGATATTCAACAGGTGTGGTTGCATGATCATCATATTTTTTATTTGTTTGTGGAGGTCTGCTGGACTCGCCATAATTTTTGTTGAAATGAAATATGCACTATTTAGACGGTTGTGATTGTGGCAATTTACTAAAGAATGACACAGACATAGGCAGGAACAGAAGTCAGTGACTTTCATCAACCCTTTGTCAAGGTCAAACAAGACTCACAGTAATTACTGTAGTGTTAATGTGAGACCTACGAAAGTTCACATTGTCTCGTAATCATTTTTGTTCACTTCATGTATAGGGAAGAGTGTGTTAACTCCATGTTGGATTTTGAAAGGAGTTGTGGGATAGAAAATTGAACTGTAGAGGGCGTTTGGGAGGAAACTCACATCTTTTCTATAGAGCCCTATGTTAAAACAAAGACATTAGAAAATCTTTTTCTAATTCTAAGTCAGATAACATAAGGTTATCGTATTTCCTTATTTCTTCCATTCAAACAACTTTATGAAAATTGGCAGCAATATAGTAGAAATCTAAACACAGTCAGTCAGTATTACAGCGGTTCTGAGAATTATTCATTCCGTCAGTCAGCAAGACGGCTTGCAACTTTGCAAAATATTTGGTTTTTGCTTTGAGGGTGCTGTTTGACTGATAGTATGCTGTATGGGATACGATTCACTATTTTATGGGGATTGTCAACATGATTATTTGCTAATCTAGTTTACGTATTCAATAACTATTCTTCATTTTTTGAGTATCTACATTGTATGCTGATCAAGAATGTTAAAATAAATCAATATAACCTGTTCATGTATTCTAAAGAACGTGTACCATATTTGCTCTATTAGAAGCGCATCTCCAATAGAAGCGCATATAAGCTGTTTTTGTTGTTTATTTTGGTTGTAATAGAAGCACACCCACCAGGACGTCAGTATCCGATGTTTTGTTTGCATGGTTTTCAGAGTGGCATTTATAATCATGTGTTTACTTGCAAATGTTCTACTTCACACATCTACCGTAATAATCCTTCTATCAAATCGACCCCTCTATTAGTTGGACCACCTAATTTTGTCTGCAAAAATATATTTTTGTTTTTCCTCTTTTAGTTCGGCCACTCACAGGAAATGGGGCCTTCAAATTGCTATCATCCCAGCAAATGTTTCACGCAATGAATAGCAATAAAACAAGTTTACTATGTTTGTCTTCCTGTGCATTCTGTCACTTCACCCCTCTTTTACACACAAAGAAACAATTAAATCTTCCAGACATGGCGTTGACTATGTGAGCTTTGATAAACCCAAGTGCGTCTTTGTGGGGTCAAACTGATGTCATATGCTAATCACTATCACTGTTGCGTGCAGCGTGATTTATGATTACCGGCAAATTAGACAAAAACAAAATTAACATAAATGAACTAGTAACCACAATTTTCCTACCACTGGGCCTATAGTAAATTTGATAGCGGCACACTAACATCCTATAAAACAATCATATAATCATAGTAAGTGTAACCAAATTTAGAATTTCAGCACATAAATTACCAATTGAAAAATTAAGATACCAAAAAATACCCTCAGAGCAAAGATTTTGCACATTGTGTTCTGATCAGTCTGTTGGTGATGAAATGCATGCTCTTTTTGACTGCAAACTGGATGAAATTGTAAAGGCACGTAGCTACTTTTGGAATACTCTATCATTATACAATGATAATATTTTAAAATTACCAAATAAAGATATGTTTGTGCATATTATGGGAATAAAAGACAGTTTCATTGCCAATAGTCTAGGAAAGTTTATTAACATAATTTTACAAAGTAATACCTAATAGTTGTTAGTGTTATCTGTTTTAACATTTTATTGTATTTTTAATATCTGTATTTCTTGTTATTGTGTTGTTGTTGTTTTGTTTTTTTCTTTGTGTATGATTATTGACCATGGTTAATGTGTTTCCAATTCATTAATTTGAGTCAAATAAAATATACTATACTCTACTATACTATACTATACTATACTTGTCAAGGTACTCAACATAATTCGTCATCCAGAAAAACTTGACACTGTGTGGCGTGACATTCTTAGTTTAACACCGGACGTTGCGCCTAATTTCAAAGGTTGCTACACCTCTCCTATCACAAAACACGAGGGAAGATCTACAGTGGCGCATTATTCATGGTGCCTACACTACAGCGGGCT